AAACATTTCCCGAAGTCGGGGTCCATACAGTTGCAGCACGCCAGTTGGTTGGAGTGCACCGAGTCTCGAATCTCTGCAAATGTGGAGATCCCAGGGCCTCTGAGTTAGTTAGGCCCTGGGCACTTGAACGTGAGGCCGACAATGCATGCTGGGTATAGAGGCCGAAAATGCCAAAGGGAAATCGGCCCACTATCTGAATCTGGCCACAGGCCTTGATGAAAGAGGCGCAACTGCATTGCCCCGGGCCTCAACTGTATCGGGCTGGGTTCAGCCACTGGGGCCCAGTCGCAGGCTGAAGAGAGGCCGCCCACACGCAGCACTGGCATATAGGCAAGCAGGGCGAGTGGGCAGGCATTCTTGGCCAATGCAGGCATTGCGGGCACGCTGCGCGAATGCGAGGTGCTGCGCTGTGCAGAGCTGCGCTGCGCTGGGATGAGGCAGGCTAGCGCTAGGCGGTAGGGCGCTGCCTGTGCACTGGGCGCTTGGCGGCCATAGGCGGGCTGCATAGGGCGCACAAGGGAGGTGAGGGCGAAGGTGGTTCTTTGGGGGTGAAGGGTGCTGTGTGGGTAACAAGGGAGAGTGTGGGTGAAGAGGACACGTACCTGGTGGAGGTGGAGGTCAGCATTGGTGTTGACATCATCACTCGTTGGAAGTCAAGTTGTCTAGTTGCTTTCATTGCTGTAGTTGTAGGCTAGTCTGTAGAAGTAGATAGGGCGCCTGGCGCCATTCATAAGAGAGAGCTACATTGGGTTATGCTGTTGGTGTTGCCCTGTTGGGCATGGACATTGACTCACAATTCTTCTGTATCATTCTCAATTGGATGGTTACTCGGTTCCATTGTGCTATCTGTTCTGGCTTTGACTACTTGGACTTCAGTGTGATTTTGCATTCTGGATTTCTGTGCTTCGTCCATATTCATGTTCCTTGCAACAAAAACACACACAAAAAAAAACACAAAAAAACACACAAAAAAAGAAAAAACACAAAAAGCACACTCTCCATCCATTCCAGTTTCGCTACTAGTGTGTCTGTATTCTGGGCTCGAAATCAACAATAGAAGCTACAAACTTTTTTTTTTTTTTCTTTCATGAGGGTACACCCTTTCAAACCCTTCCGAAATTTGAACCCCTTTCAAGTTTCAACCCGTTTCAAATTTCAACCTCTTTTTTTTAAGTTTCAATTTTCAACCCCTTTTAAATTTTCAACCCCCCTTTGTACACCCAACTCCCCCCTAGATGAGAGCCATGACCAAATTCAAAAAGATACCACCAGATTCTAACTGCTCCAGCCAAGCGCTGATCCGACTGAAAAGGCCACTGCATACTGAACGAGTTGGCCACATCGTTCAGTATTTCTCACTATTTCTCTCACACATGCCAGGGAAAATTTTCAAAAAAACAAGGTGTCAATTTGTCAAAGGACCGTTCACTCCGAACCAGTCCACTGCAGCCATGGTATATCATCAAGACGGATTGGGTACATACTACATAGGTATGTTTTACTATTCTCTGAAAAACGGACGGGAAAGAAAACTGCAGCAAAGAACTTGTAGTCTCAAATACAGATGGAAAGAAAGAAGTGTGAGGAGAGAGGAGGGGACCTGAGGACAGATCACGTTCCACACACCTTCCCGCACGGATTCTGATACGTCCACCCTTTGCCGCCCTCTTGGCTGCACGCCGAGAAGCCCTCTTGCCGAGTTGTTTCCCGCCTGAGGACGAAGCAGAACTAGTGCCTGCTCTTGATGGTGACGATCCAGAAACAGAACTGCCCGTTGTTCTGTGTGCATCAAGTACAGATTAAGAACAAAACCCCATAAGCATATCCATAACCTAACGATACTCTCATCGTAGCGACAGTCATCGAGTCGTCGTTACCATAACAACCGTAATCACAGCCATACCCAACATTCTCATACCCAGAGTCATACCCATAACCATAACCATAACCATAACCATACCCCTACCCCTACCCATATCATAGCCGTACCCCTCGAAACAACACATATCATAGCCGTACCCCTCATAACCACACCCAACATAACCATACACATGAGCATAATTAGCATACCCATAACCTTACCCACAATTAGCAGGCCCATAACCATACCCATGGCCATATGGCATATACCCATAACAAATGGAAATGGCAGAAATGTGAGAATAGCATAAAACGACAGGCACATGATGGAGGTGAACTGGTTGCTGCTTTCTCCGTCTTCCTCCCTTATTTCTTTCAACATGCAGTTCACATTGTTGATACGAACGTTTTCGTAAATATTTCCACAACTAGCAAATCCTGGATGATGAAGTCAAAGATGAGATGCCATGCATACGCCAATGAATCCACTGTGCGCCTGACAACAACAATCAGCAGCAAGGCACATATGCTTCAACAAAGTGAAGACGAACCGACAGGATCACCCACCATCTTCGCCTGAACAGAACACCTGGTCTGCATCGCTGTGTCGAGACTGAAAGTTACACCAAATACAGCTATAATAACGACTGGGCGAGACTAGGCCATCCTCCAAGCTATGTATTCCTGGGACTGGAGCACGCCCAAAAACGGGTACACGCGGAGTCGCCACATGGAAGTCAATGACGTGTTCATATTAACTCGTCAATTTAATGATTTTAATCACATAGCAATGATAGCATTGTTTCTATGGCCGTGGCCAGACTCTATCTTGGAAAGCATGAACCTAGTCCTAAAACAGGCCAAGGCAGTGTTTGCGTAGCCCTGGGACAGCGAGAGCCGGTTTCGATGACAGGTTGGTTTACATCGCTGATTGGCATAGTTGGGAGGAGGAATTCCCTGGCAGATCTCAAGTGGTTGATTCTCAATTTTGGTCCGAAGGGGCAGTCCCCACCGGGACTATGTTCAGGCCAACAAAGCGCAAACCTGGCCAAATTTTATGGCTAGGTTCATGCTTTCCAAGCACAAACCTGGCCAACTTTTATGGCTAGGTTCAGGCTTTCCAAGCACAAACCTGGTCAGTTTTAGGACTATATGCAGGTTCATGGTTTTGGGCACTGAACACTAGTGTACTTCATCATTCAATTGACAATTTGGTGACGGGAGAGTTCACGAGGATGACGACTGGCAAGATGAGAGGGGGTGCGGCAAGGGAGGGGGGGGCGGGGAGAGGAAGGGTGGTCCATATCTCTGTTTACAATCTGATTTTCTCTTGTGTATGCTTTCTCTTCTTCCAAGTTGGACTGTGATCTGGTGCTGCTATGATGGTGCACGTATGAGCATGAATTGGGAGATTCGCAGCAAGGTACATCATGTTTGTTGCACAATAAAAAATTGGAGTCTCTTATATTTGACTAATGGAAATCATAAAATTAAAAATTATCTAGTATGACTGTATTAGTCCATTCAGCCATTCAGCAGGCAGCCACCAATCATTCTGTCGCTCCGGCCCATGTTAAACACCTAGGGCTTTGCCAGCATTGTTGCCACCTTGTATCAAACCACTGGGTGAGCACGCCGCATTAACAGCGGCTCGGCGTGCAGGAAGGAAAAGGCTGCCAGTGCCAAGCAAAAACAGAAACTTTTGCGCCCGCGGCCCGCGCCGATTCATTTTTCTGTTTGGCGTGCAGCATAAATCCAGGTAGGGAAAAGAGGGTCAGAGGAACTATTGGTTCAAGGCTGATTTTTTGGCCTCTATGCGCTGTGTCGCGAGTGTTGTGCCTCTTCATGTGATCATTGCAATCCCTCTCTCTCTTTTTTTTTTTTGTTTTCCAAGCAGTATAGTATCTCTGCGCACCTGACTTTATCATATCCATTTTGATCTCATCGGGAATCGAGCTGATGATCTGTTCAATCAACAGTTGCATGTATAATATGTATAGTATAGCAATCAGCCACATGAGCATTGGGCTGTGTGACCATCACAATCTTATTTGATTTCCAAACCCAGAAACATGAGAAACACCAGACACCGACCTGGACTCGTAGGCGCTGAGATCACTACCAACACTGTCCGTGACAGACTCCGCATCGTCATCACCTCTTCCTTCAGCAGCTTCCCAGCGATCTCTTTCACTTGCCAAGCGTGCAGCGAGCTGCAAGCGCCGTGTGTGCACATCCCTCCACCTGCGCAGGTACTTCTCCACCCTCTCTGCCTCTTCATCAAAATCAGCAATCTGCACTCTTGCCGTCTCCACTGCCACAGGTGCCACGCGCGTCTCCACAATGTCAGCAACACCTTCAGCAGTTGTACCCGCCTCTGTTCCTGGCTTCTGCCTGCAGAGGTATCCCACCCTCAGGGCTTCCATCCACTCTCTCGCTTCAATCAGCAGCGCTGTGGCGCTCTCAGTATCGTCCAAATAATCTGTAGAGATTCTAGCGGCATCCGCTGGGTGGCCCATCGCCTTTAGCTCATCCCGTAGTTCCATTGCAAGCAGTTGGAGTTCTTTGGCTTTGAAGCCTAATTTGCCGGCTAACGACAAGACCCCTCGCCAATTACCCCCTGCACGGTATGCCGTCATCGCCTTCGACCACTGCCGACAGGAGGAATAGGCCAGTGCCGCATTTGAGTGCCTTCCTTCCGAAAGCATGTGATCAGCCCATGCCTCAAGCACCGCATTTCGCTGCACCTCATTCCTTGAGAAGAGCTCCATTGCAACAGGAAACAGCTCAACGTGGGTACGTACCAGAGCAACACATTCCTTGTGATGAGCTGGGCCTGCCTCTGCCAAGTTGCGAAGTGCGCTGTCCATGCGATTCAGCTTCTTGTCAATCGTATACCGGAGCAGTGGTGGTGGCATTGCTTCTAGTTCCTGCTCAACCACCACAAACGCCACCCAGTCAGAATCCACTCTCGCAACAACACAGTCTCAAGGTCAGGTTTTAAGTCTTTTGACAAAAAAGTGTCAAGGTTTTGGAAAGAAACTTTAAAAAAGTGCCAAGTTAAAAGAGTACTTTGATCGCTAAGTACCAAGTTAAGGTTTCAAGTACTTCGATAACAAAGTAGTATCGTGCCAAGTTAACTTTTTGAGTACTTTGACAACAAAGTGCCAAGATAAGTTTTTGAGTACTTTGACAACAAAGTGCCAAGTTAAGGTTTTGACAACAAAGTGTGAAGTTCAGGACGAAAAAAACTTAAAAAAAGTGCCAAGTTAGAAGAGTACTTTGATAGCTAAGTACCAAGTTAAGGTTTCAAGTACTTCGATAACAAAGTATCGTGCCAAGTTAACTTTTTGAGTACTTTGACAACAAAGTGCCAAGATAAGTTTTTGAGTGCTTCGACAACAAAGTGCCAAGTTAAGGTTTTGACAACAAAGTGTGAAGTTAAGGACTTGAATCTTTTGACAACAAAGTGCCAAGTTAAGGTTTTTGACAACAAAGTGTGAAGTTAAGGACTTGAATCATTTGACAAAGAAGTGCCAAGTTAAGTTGTTGATAACAAAGCGTCAAAGGTAAGGTTTTGACAAAAAGTGTCAAGATAAGGATTGGAGTACTTTGACAACAAAAAGCCAAGTTAAGGTTGTTGACAACAAAGTGTGAAGTTAAAGTACTTTGACAACAAAATGCCAAGTTAAGGTTTTGACAACAGAGCGCCAAAGGTAAGGTTTTGACAACAAGTGTCTAGATGAGGATTGGAGTACTGACAACAAAGTGCCAAGTTAAGCTTTTTGACAACAAAGTGTGAAGTTAAGGACTGGAATCTTTTGAGATCTACGTGCCAAGGGTAAGGTCTTCATGCCAAGTTTGGGTTTTGACAACATGGTGACAAGTTAGTCCCAAGTAAAGGAAGAAACCTGAATCTGATGCCAAAGAGTCTGCAATAACCGATTGATGGAAACCACTACCATAGAGAAAGCTTACCCAAAGCAGAAGTATGAGAAGAACATTGGCGAAAGGCCTCACTGCACTGCTCATGCCAACATCTTGAATGTATCTGGACCATACAGTTCAAATGTCGCTATTTGGCGAGTGGTGCAGAGGCCCTAAGTGTACCCAGCCATGTGGCTGAATGGTACAAACACGAAACTGAGTACAAATGCTGGCAGAGACAACAACATAATAATAACTTGAGGAGCGCACCGTCTTTTATCGACTGACGGACAAACAGACAGACAAACAAACAAACAAACAAACAAACAAACAAACAAACAAACAAACAACAAACAAACAAACAAACAAACAAACAAACAAACAAGAAAAAAATGCAGAAAGACGTTGAAGAAATATGGCTGAAGAAGGGGCAAATAGCACACATAAAAAAGCAAGCTCTCAAACTTGAGGATTGGTGTGAAACAGTATCCGGGAGAACGGTTCTCTTCTGGGACACAAGGACGAAGTAGACAGAATCGCATACAGTGTTGCAGCGTTCATAAGACAGGAGTGGCTGGGAGATGGTGAGGAGGCACCTTTGGAGAGGGTAAAGTTGGAAAAGGAGAAGAGGGATGAGAGGAGAACTTCCAACGCTGCCTCCTAAACACTCCTCCAGCCCCAAATCAAGGTTAACCATCGCTTGCGCCAATGGAAAACTCAGCAGACGGTTCCCCGGATAGAGGGCCTGGACACGAAACAAAGAGATTCAAACCCACCTCAGAAGCTGACATCTTAAAGGAAATTAGAAAACAACCTCCATACTGTCATGGAACATTAATGGTTTAGCATCTGTTGTCGGCAACCCAATCAAATGGAAAAATCTGACAGAAACCATAAATTGGTTTGGTAAAAAAAAACCTGACATAACATGCATACAGGAAACACACCTCACTAACAGCAATGAACACAAAATGACTTGTCACTGTAAAACTATAAGGGATCATGCCAATAAGATTACAAACTAACAAAAAAGTAAAATTGACAAAGATGAAAGGAAAAAGTCATCGTTTAACTGCTGGTAGAATCCAAACGGCAATTCTATAGAAATTACAATTCGTCAAATTCTCAGTCTGGGCTAGCGCAACACCAAACGGAGCAGCAGGAACGACCATCCTCTTCCACCAAAAATCCGCATCCAGTGACAACATAACAATTCAAACCTCTAGCCAGGACGACACAGCAGGGAGGTGGGTCAAAATAGACATACAACTCAAAGAAGAGGACATAGCCATCCTGGGTATATACGGTCTGAACGCACGACAGGAAAAAAAAACCTTCCTTCTAGCCCTAGATCAACTAATCCCTACCCACAGTCATACCATCATTACGGGAGACTGGAACTCTGCACAAGACCCTACCCTGGATATAATTTCTAACTCTCAGGAACCCACATCACAATCCAACAGCATAGATCTAGGAGACTTCATCACAAGGAAGAACCTAGTAGACCCATATCGTCTCCTAACTCCCAATGCAAAATGATTCTCGTGCGTCAGAAAAACCTCCCTTGGAAGAACCTCCTTTTCAAGAATAGATTTCTTCTTCACATTGGGTTCACTATCAGGAGCTAATCCTAGACTGCAGAATAAAAAACCACCCTACTATAAGGGCATAGATCACAAAGCAATCACACTCACCCTTAGACTGACCAGAACCGGATACGTAGGAAAAAGTTTCTATCGCTTCAACGATGCATTACTAACCAGTCAAGCCTTCCAAACCGAATAAACAAGAATATTAAACTCCCAAGCAGAGATAAAACAAGACGAAGATATTTTTACCAAATTTTCAGAAATATTAAAGAAAATTAGCTTCGACACCTCACATACCTTAAGAAGATTGGCAGCACAAAGGAACGAAACAGTAGAAGCACTAGGAAATGCAATAGAAATGGCCGAATTAAATCTCCAAACTTCCAAAGTAAAACCAACTCAGAATTTTATGCAGAATTATACTCCAAAGCCCAGGAAGTGCTAGCAGAATAGACAAAACTAAAACTTAGGGGACTACAACTAAAAGCCAGAATGAAAGACTGGGAACTGAACGAGAAAATGACGACATTTTTCTTCCAAAAAATCAAATCTAACTCTAGGAACTCCCCAAGATAGAAAGGCCATTGAACGAACACAGTCAGAAACAAGTTAAAAAAAAACAATTAGTCAACATAGCTACCAACTTTTACAATAACCTATACACTAGTAAAACCACAACGAACAGACCAAACGAAACACTTAGAGCCAGAGCAAAATTTCTAACACATCTCGACCGAACACTATCAAAGGAAATAGCAAGCATATTAGAAAAACCTTTCACATTGGAAGAACTGCACTCAACACTCAAGGACTTGAAAGCCAACAAGGCTCCAGGCAGAGACAATCTCTCAAAAGAATTTTGGATGGCGAGTTGGCACAAACTTGGCCCGCTCTTCTTTGCTGTCATCAACAGAGCCTGGGAAGAAGAATCACTAGGACCAACACTAAGAACAGGAGTGGTGACCCTCCTCTCCAAAAAAGGAAGTAAGGAAGACATCAGGAACTATAGACCTATATCCTTACTAAATGTCTCCTACAAAATCCTAGCCAAACTCCTAGCCTCTCGAATTAAACGGATCACAGGAGGAGGCTTCTACCTGAACCAAATAGGGTTCATCCCAGGCAGACTCGTCCTAGATAACGTAATGGCTCTCAACGAGTCCACCAGAATAATAAATTAAAAGAAGATCACAGCAGCAATCTTCTTCTTCTACTTTGGAAAAGCTTACTATCAGGTCAACTGGGACTTTCTTCAGGCCTCAATGGAAAAAATTGGAGTCGGCCCGGTCTTCAGAAAACGGGTAAAGGTTTTGTATAACGACGCACAGGGCATAGTACAAATTAACGGATTTCTCTCCAACCCCTACACAATGTCAAGATCAGTAAGCCAAGGCGACCCATTAGCAACTCCAATCTCCCTATTCGTAATGGAAGCCATTGCAGCCTTCCTAAGAAAAAAACCGTCCATAGAGAGACTAATTAACATTAAAGACGAAAGAGGCCAACCCCTACATATTCCTACCACCCTCTTATTCGTGGACGACCTCGCGGTTCTTATCAGGGCATCCAACCCCTCCTTCCAAGCGTTAACAAGAGCAATGCAAGCCTTTCAATTAGCCTCCGAAATGAAAGTTAACTGGTCAAAAACAACTGGTTGGTGGTTCTCGAATGCCCACCCCCCTATAGAACTCACACCGGAAGGGATGCATTGGGTAGATCTATCCGCCCCGATCCGCTTCCTAGGGATTAACTGAAATGCAAAAGGATGCCATAACACTTCGGCTGCCTCCATATTATCGTCCATGATCAACAGAATGCACACGTGGAGGGTGTTCACACTTCATAAGGTACTAGCTCTCAATAACTCAATCCTAGCTATGATGTGGTACACTACCTCCATATGGTTCCCATCAAAAGAATTCGAAAGCCAGATCACGAAAAAGGCCGCAACCTTCCTGTGGATGGGTGACCCAGACAAACAGCACTTCATTCACAAGGTAGCCTGGCAAACAGTTACTCAACCTAAATCCAAGGGAGGCCTGGGTCTGCTTGACCCAGCCCGTCAGATCCAAGCCCTTCAAATCAAGTGGATTTTTAGAATAACTCTCCAAGACGGCTTTCATTGGCCTCCTCTAGCCTAAATCACATCAAGGAGTTGGCCCCATTCAAATCCCCCGAAAACATGACTGGACTTTTTGGGTTTTCAACAAGCATTTATACTTTTTGGAATGCATGAAAGATCCCTCAACTTTTTGGGATGCTCAGACCCCTCTGCTCTGCTTTTGAGAGAGAGAGAGAGAGAGAGAGAGAGAGAGAGAGAGAGAGAGAGAGAGAGAGAGAGAGAGAGAG